AACCCTGTGCCGATCATGATAGGGCATCTGGTGAAGGGGTTCAACCACAGGATTACACACTGATTAAGATGGAGGTTGTGCCACCTTTTCCTCCTAAAATGAGTGTGTTGGAGGGTAGAAAAGTGTACTTAGCTGCTGCAACATTGAGACCTGAGACCATGTATGGTCAAACAAATGCTTGGGTACTGCCTGAGGGTAAATATGGAGCATTTGAAATTAATGATACTGATGTATATATTATTACTGAAAGAGCCGCCCTTAACTTAGCCTATCAGAAATTTTCTAGAGTTCCTGAAAAACCCACTTGCCTGATTCAGCTGACTGGTAATGATTTGATAGGACTCCCATTGAAATCCCCTCTAGCCTTTAATGAGATCATTTATGCTCTTCCCATGCTTACAATTCTCACGGATAAGGGAACTGGTATCGTGACCAGTGTACCTAGTGATGCTCCTGATGATTATATGGCAATGCATGATTTAAAATCAAAACCAGCTCTTAGGGCCAAATATGGTGTTAAAGATGAATGGGTGCTTCCCTATGACATTGTTCCCATTATTAATATCCCAGAATTTGGAGATAGGGCTGCTGAAAAAGTTTGCGTGGATCTAAAAATTAAAAGTCAGAATGAAAAGGACAAGCTTGCTGAAGCTAAAAGATTGACATATTTGAAAGGATTTACTGATGGAACACTAATTGTTGGTGAATTTTCTGGGAGGAAAGTGCAGGAAGCAAAGCCTATGATTCGGAGCAAGCTAATTGAAACTGGTCAAGCTATCCCATACAGTGAACCTGAGAAGCGTGTTATCTCCCGGTCTGGAGATGAGTGCATTGTAGCTCTTACAGATCAATGGTGACTATCTCTAACTAACTCATTAGTTGATGACTAAGCATATCATGATTGACCTAATAGTATTCTAATGGTGTTTCGAACAGGTACATCACATATGGGGAATCAGAATGGAAGAAGTTGGCTGAAGATTGCTTGGCCAACATGAATCTGTTTTCTGATGAGACAAGGCATGGGTTTCAGCACACACTTAGTTGGCTTAACCAGTGGGCATGCTCACGTAGTTTTGGCCTTGGAACGCGTATTCCATGGGATGAACAATTTCTAGTTGAATCCTTATCTGATTCCACCATTTACATGGCTTACTACACCATTGCTCATTTGTTGCATAGTGGGGACTTGTATGGATCAGGAGCCTCTGCAATAAAACCCGAGCAGATGACTGATGAAGTGTGGGATTTTGTCTTTTTTGGTGCTGCTGAACCAAAATCAACTGGTATCTCACGTTCAATTCTTAATAAGATGAAACAAGAGTTTGAGTATTGGTATCCATTTGATCTTCGGGTTTCTGGAAAAGATCTTATTCAGAATCATTTGACATTCTGTATTTATAATCATACTGCAATTATGCCAGAGCACCATTGGCCACGAGGATTCAGATGCAATGGGCACATCATGCTTAATTCTGAAAAGATGTCCAAATCTACTGGGAATTTTAGAACTCTGCGTCAGGCAATTGAAGAGTTTTCTGCTGACGCCACACGATTCTCATTGGCTGATGCTGGTGATGGTGTTGATGATGCAAATTTTGTTTTTGAGACTGCAAATGCTGCAATATTACGTTTGACTAAAGAAATTGCATGGATGGAAGACATTCTACAGGCTGATTCTTCTTCCTTCCTTAGAACAGGCCCTCCGTCGACCTATGCTGATCGTGTCTTTGAAAATGAAATGAATATTGCAGTTAAAACGACCGAGCAAAATTACAAAAATTACATGTTTAGAGAAGCTCTGAAGTCTGGTTTTTATGATCTCCAAGCAGCTAGGGACGAGTACAGGTTTTCATGTGGGGCTGGAGGCATGAATCGCGATTTGGTTTTCCGCTTTATGGATGTCCAGACACGACTTATCACTCCTATTTGTCCACACTATGCAGAATATGTTTGGAGGGAAATGTTGAAGAAGGAAGGATTTGTTGTTAATGCTGGCTGGCCTTCGGCTGGTTATCCTGATTTAACTCTCAAAAGTGCAAACAAATACCTGCAAGACTCGATAGTTTTGATGAGAAAGCTTCTTCAAAAACAACTTTTAGGATCTAAAAAAGGCAACAAGAAGGGTGCTCCCGTCACATACGTGATTGAGGACAAAAAATTAACTGGCTTGATATATGTGAATGAGCAATTTGATGGATGGAAAGCCGAATGCCTGAGGATACTCCAATGTAAATTTGACTCGACTAAACGTACATTTGCACCAGATAGTGAAATAATGGAGGCACTACAGAAGAGTTCAGTTGGTCAGGCATCAGATTTTAGACAAACACAGAAATTGTGTATGCCATTTTTGAGGTTTAAGAAGGACGAGGTCGCTGCACTCGGGGTTCATGCCTTGGACTTGAAGCTTCCTTTTGGGGAGATCGAGGTCCTTAAAGAGAACTTGGAGTTGATTAAGAGGCAAATAGGTTTGGAAGAGGTGGAGGTTTTGTGTGCGTCTGATACAGATGCTATTGCGAAATCTGGAGCTCTGGCTTCATTATTGAAGCAGAATCCTCCATCCCCAGGGAATCCTACTGCTATTTTCTTGACAAGTTAGACAAAAACATTCCAGGCGTTTTTGGTGAGTGTTGTCTTTCTGACTATGCTTGCTACTTTTGTTTGAATCTATACATTTTTTTATTTAATTCTAAACTTCCCATCTTATAAAGAGAGAATTTCTTTTGGACAAAAAGAAAAACATTTTTTAATTTCAAAAAACATAATTATGAACTTGATTATAGCTGCATACCAAATTATAATTATGAAGATAGGTCCAACTAGTTGTGACCCCAATGATTTGTTACTTTAGTGAACATAATTTATAGTTTCTTGCAGCATCCTGTTTATGTCAAAGTATGGGATTCATGGTTTTCTGTTTAAATTCTAAAACGCGTGCTCGTTACTCGAACTCATCCTTCTCTCATCAGCAATGTTCCTCGTATGGCTTCGAGTTTGAGCATGTTTTAGTTTTGCTGCCATGAAAAAACTGCTAATTTTGATTAGGTCTAACTCGTGCTTGTAGGTGTTGTTTTTTGTATTTATCAGCTTGAAATCATTCTTTTAGATTGGAACTTGTTCTTGTAACTCATTGTGGATGTTTTGGTTGGTCGGATTGTTATATATATATATATACACACACATACATGTTCTTGTATATTCTTTATTTTTGTTCAATAAAAAAGAAAAATCAGTTAATGTTCATCCGAGAAAAATCATGTCGGAGATGAAGTTCAGATGATGAAAAGTTGATCATCTTTCCTCTTTATTTCAACGAGCTTCCTATTGTTGATCTCTCCTTACCAGCTTACAAATTACTTATTATTATTATTTATTATGTTAATGATTATTAAAATGACTTTCATTGTTTAATAATAAGTTCCAAAAAATTATTAATGAAAGACTGATATTAAATATCGGATTCTTTCTTCAACAATTTCTGATCTCTAGTGAACCTCTCAATAGGATTCGAACTCATATGAAGTTCTAACTATCAGTCGAACGAATGGATCTTGTACGATTCTCGAGCAATTCTTCGATTTTTTCCGGAAGTGGATGATTATTCATCTGCTTCTCACGTTCCGTGAATAGTTGGGACATTGAGGAATATTCAAAAAAACATTTAGGGAATCGGTCTGATTCTATCTCTATTCGGGTGAAAACTAGTATATTCTTAAAAAAATGCATTAAAGTTCATTAGAATATGTTTACTATCGAGTTATTGTTATTGTTCTATTAAGTCGATAAAAATCATTCGATCAACTAAAAATAAAAGGTATTAATTTACAAAACTCAACAAAATAGAAATAAAAAATTAAATTCAAATTTTAGGATAATATAAAATAAATAAAAAACGTAGAAAAGATTTGAACTAATTTATAATAATAAAAATGGTTATAGTTATTTTATTTTTAAAAAAAGTTTAAACATAAAACTGAAAAGAAAAAATAATAATAATACAAAACAAAAAATGTAATCTTATTTGGAACTTTATAAATTACCGTTTCTTACAAATCTAGAAAGTCCTCCATCCGCGAGACGCATCCATCCAACCTCTAACTCACAATCCATGTGAAATCGGACGGCTACGAAAACAAAATCCTTTAGGTACACGGATCGCCATCCAACGGCCATCCTTTCATCTCATTCTACTATATATCTAACCACTCTTGTCATTAGATTCTCACAATAACAGGATTTGAGTCTTTTTCATCAGAAATTTCTCAAAACTTTCAAATCCTTAGAGGAAGCGGGAAAAGCAACAATGTCCGGCAGAGGCAAGGGAGGGAAGGGCCTTGGAAAAGGTGGAGCAAAGAGGCACCGTAAGGTTCTGAGGGACAACATCCAAGGAATCACGAAGCCGGCGATTCGGCGGTTGGCCAGACGAGGCGGCGTAAAGCGAATCAGTGGCTTGATCTACGAAGAAACTCGCGGCGTTCTTAAGATCTTCCTCGAGAATGTCATCCGCGACGCCGTGACCTACACTGAGCACGCTCGCCGGAAGACCGTCACCGCTATGGATGTTGTGTACGCTCTCAAGAGGCAAGGTCGTACTCTCTACGGCTTTGGAGGTTAGGTATTTTAGAACCTAGGGTTTAGATTTGGGGGATTTTATGGTCATGGTGGACTGTATGTGGAAACTTTGTGCTGGTTCTGGATAGAAATTGTACAATATTGTTAGTTTTGTGTGTTTGTTTCAATCAGTACTGTGCTAATCGTATCTCTCGTTTGACGACAAATTCTGAATTTGATTAGCTGCTTTTGCTTAATTCGAACCTGGTTTTCGATTCTAAGTTCACGATGTGTCTGATAGTCTCGAGTGGTGTAATGGATTCATTTCTGATGCAATTTCTAGCAACAATCTTCCAATGAAATTGAAAAATGCCTTGTTCTGATTTTTGCTTTGTTATACAAATTTATTTAAATCTTCAAATGTTTACCACAAAAGTAGAATAATGTATGTCTCAAGAGAATTTGTTCATTCTATAAGCACTCACATCAGGAAGTGAGCAATACAAATCTACGTAACATTAACTCCCACAAATGCATTCTTCACAGCACTCTCAAACCATAACTAAACAGATCATGTCAAACTTGGCTCAACAAAATACCATGGAAAAAGAAAAAAAATGAAGCCTATGAAGCTAATTCCTCATTTACTTCAAAACAACACAACTTTCTCATTTACGAGTGTGTACCTTAACCAATCGAGCTAGCTAAATCACCTATAGTTTGAACTTCTGCTATTGTTTCTGTTGAATTACCTATCTGGGTTGGGTTGGTATTAGTGTCGTTTACGATGCACTCGACGTTCTAGGAAATTGCCCTGGTCTTGTGATCATCTGTGTTTGATGTTGCTCCAATGAAGCTTGCCATCTTCTTCTCCATTTGATAAACTCAACTAGAATTGAAGTACCACTCATCACGATTCCAAACCCGGTAAAAGTTGCAAGAAGAATAGATAGAACTGGTTGGATGGCAACCTATGAGAACAGATACCACCAGCTTTAAAACATCTTTAATGGCATATAAAAGATTCATGTGCAGAGTTCTCACCAACGAGTAAAAGATATGTGCGAAGAGGACGACGAGTGCGAACTGACACGAGGCGTACACCCACACAAATCTTCTCTTCACTGAAATCACATTCCATAATAGAATCATAATCAAGTTATGCCAACAAGTTCCAAACCGAAAACGATGAACACTAATAGCTGCAAAATGACAACCTTGATGGTTGTCGAGCGCCGAACCGAACAAAATGAGAAGATTAGATATAGGTTATGCAACATTATTAGCTTGCCTACCCATAGTTGACGAGGTCATGGATGAGAGCAGTCCAAGTACGCATGAAAAAGGCAGAGATATCGCGATTGCGCCGCTACCCATCTTACCGACCTGATAAACAGCAACGTATTTTTCAAGGGAATGTGCTAAGAACTCAATGTACAAACTGTAGAAATGAAAAATCTACCAGAAGTTGCTCGAGAAAACAGAAATAGGCAAGCATGCTAACGATGACGAGCACGGGAACTTCTTGCCACACCCTGAAAAGATTTGCATATTCAAGTATTTGCAAATGGAGTTTCAAAGCTTCAAGTGACAAAACAAGAACCTGTATCCATGAACATCTTCGTGCAGAGCTCTGATCGTTCCGGTGTTTCGAGCTCGAATACTTTGGATCCGTAACAGAGTAACGGGTAAGTTTCGGACCTCTTCCTTGCAAATATCACATGTCTTGTTGCCCTTGATGCTAAACCATTTAATGGCACAGTCCTTATGAGCCAAAGCAAGCTCACCTTTGCAGCAGCATTCCATCTTTAGCGTCTCGCCGCCTTCACAGAGCTCCACCATACAGATTCTGCAAACAGCCTCTTCTTCAGGTATATCTTCGCCATTATTTTCTTCTTCTGGACCATCAAATTAATTTTCAAGATGAACTTTTCCCCTAATATCAGTATGAAAAAGTACCAAAAGATGTAAATTTTCAGTATTTGATGTTCTTTCATTGAATCATACCAGCTTCCTCTATTGCTGTATTTAGCTTCCCACTTCCTCCCTTCACAAGTGGTGTTGAAGGAATTACACGGAAAAACGAATCCATCTTCGTCAAGGTTCTCTCTTTATCGTTCACGGGGACTGAAAGAGAGCGACATATTGATCGTTGTGCTTCTTTTCCCTGCACAAAACACAAATATTGGATCAATTTCCACAATTTGGGAACCACGACTCTTCACAATGGTATGATATTGTCCACTTTGAGCATAAGCTCACGTGGCTTTGCTTTTGGTTTGGTCTCCCCCAAAGTACTCCTTACTTATAATCCCATGATCAACTCCTTAATTAGCCAAACGCGAGACTCCTCTCCCAACAAATCTCAACAATTCTCCTCTCGAAGGAAGTACACCATAGAGTCTCCCCTAAGGCCTATGAGGCCCTCGAACAACCTCCCCTTAATAAAAACTCGACTCCTTTGGAGCTCACAAACAAAATACACCCTTTGTTCGATATTTGAATCACTTTTGACTACACTTTCGAGGTTCGCAACTTCTTAGTTCGACATTTGAGGATTCTATTGACATGACTTAGTTAAGGGCATGACTCTAGACCATGTTATCGACAATGGTATGATATTGTCCACTTTGAGTATAAACTCTCATACCAATCAAAATATATTCCTTATAAACCCGTGATTAACCCGTTAATTAACCAATCCGAGACTCCTCGACTTACAATTGGGTTCGTAGCGCCTCTACTTCCTCCATGTGCCGATTCGGGATTCAAGTGAACGACGGGAGTAACAGGCAATGATGAAGTCCTCTTTATCCTGGGAGTAAACATTTTCGTGAGAGACAAGGACCTAGCTATGGAAGGCTTCTCTTGAGCCCCATGGGATGAACCTTCAAGGCCAAGGTTAGCAACCTTCTCAATGTCTGAAGAGCTTCTATGGATGAAGCTTAGCTTAGGAAACAGACTTCTTATAGATGATTTGCCTCTTGATGAAGGCGGACCAGGTGACCCAGATCCATTAATTCTCACATCAGAAGGGCTTGGTGTCAACAGGAAATTCACTTTCCTAGGAGTTTGAGGCATCTTTATAGCATGAAATTCTGGAGGGGATGATACGGGCGTTTGAGACGGTATCTCCAGCACAAGATTCGGCTTCTTCCATTGATGAACAAGCTTTTTCTCCTCAGTAATCGCCGCTGTGCCTTCATCCTGGAAGAACAAATAAGAACATGATCGAGCAGTTCAAAGAAGAACAGAATGAAATCAGAAACAGGGTATTGTTCCAAATTCTCTCTGTTCTAAGTTATCATGATTCATCATTCAATCCTCTTGAAAACACGACGAAAATTCCTGAAAATTACTCAGAAAAGAACGAAGAAAGAGGGAAATAAACATCATCAAACCTTTTCGAGAGGAATTGAAATGGTTCCATCACGTGAACCCACTTCACTCCCTTCAGCAACAAGCTTATCCCTGTTTTCCATTAGCTTATAATCCACAAAAGGGATGAACCCAGAATTCAAAACCAGCTAAAAACCACGAAGAACATGCAAATTGGTGCAGATTTGCACAGAAAAGAGGGGGAAAAAGAGAAGCAGGGGAGTGAGTTAAAACTCTGAGAAGGGGAAAATTGAAATGAAATGTATCGAGAAAAGGATGAAAGGGGAAGTCCCAACGGTGCATTTATTGCAGAAGGTGTAGGGAAAACATGGCCTACTGACGCCACTGCCACTCTTCTAACAGCTCGCTCGCGCTCAGACCATAACCGCTCAGCCTTCTCTTAAGCGAATCAGATTCAAACACACGCAGAGGCACTTTTAAAGCTTAAAGTATTACCCTTCAAATTCACGAGATTTTAAGTGGTCTTTAAAGAGACTGTTACTCATTGCTATGCTTTGTTTTAGTTTTTTAAAGCTAATATGTTGTCTTCTTCAATTAAAGTTTCGTTTTTTCTTGGTTTGTGTGTAGTAAAGTTTTGGGGGTCTACAATTTTAATCTCGTATTTACCCAATCTTTCGTTTATTTTCGATTAACAGGTCAAATGTTCATATTCTCATGGTCTTTGAATCTATGATGTTTTATTAGAAATACATGTAAATTCGTTGAGTTTTGCTCATTGGAATAAAAATTTATTAGAATATTGAGTGAAAGTTGATATGATAGTGATCTTGAACAATACATCGATGGCTACGAAAATTAGCATATTTTTTTTTTTTTTTTTTGTTTAGGGAGAGAATTTACGTGAGATCTCACCTCGGTTGGAGAGAGAAGTATAGAAACCTCTCCCTAACAGATTGTGTTATAAGTGTGAGGCTGACAACAATAGGTAACGGGCTAAAACGGACAATATCTACTGTAGGCTTAAGTTGTTTCAAATGGTATAAGAGCAAGATACTGAAAGGTGTGCTAACGAGGACGTTCCCATATCGATTGGAGATGAGAACAAAATAGACATGTTTATTGTTAAGACAAATTAATTGCTGGTTAAATTCTCCCGTGGTCAATAATGGGATGGAATTAGAAGAGTCATATATTTTCTTTTCCATTTTTTATGCTAACATCTATGGATTTCTATAATTAGTTAGGTTTTAATTACACTTAATTAATTTGTTTTTTTAGTTAAGGTGGTTGGAGGTTGTCAGTTACTTGTAACTTTGTGTCATGTTTTTTTTTTTCTTCTTTCATTTAGATTTTGGAAAATTTTATTGGGTTAATGCTTATAATTAGCTCAATTAATTATACTTTTTTTTTTAAAAAATTAATATAATCTTGATATCAAATAATAATTAAGATTAAACTAAAATTATTAACTATACCATTAAGATGGGTCTTCCTTTCCTTTACTCACCCTGCGCCCTTTGGCCTATGTGAGCTACCTTGTGGCACATGCATGTGTTACAGCGTGGGCGAGCGTGTAGAGACGAGTGTCTCGAGCGACTTCTTTTAAAATAGATTTTTCAAAGACAATATCGGACGACACGGGTGTGCCGGTATTGCACCCCAACCAGTATGTTGGAGGTTGCTACATACACCCACTATTCAATATGGGCATGAGAGAGCCAATGCCTCGATAGAACCTGGATGGATGGATGGATGTTCGAAAAATCCCGATGAGATAATCGACACACGGGCCCATTCTCAATGGCATGACAAGTGAGTTGCGATGGCCGACGACACCCTGAGACTCGAGATGACATCAAGACATATGGGCCATGTCGATGGAGATCGAGATGGTAAGATGAGACGCAGTGTTGCATTGAAATACCTTGGCCTCGAGCAGAGGCAAGATCGAGCTGAATGAACCATTTTATATTGAGAGGCTTCTTGAGAATTCTCTTTTGATGTACGTGGGTGAGAATAAAACATGTTGAACGAATCTGTATGGGTCTGTACGAATGTCTTATAAAAAATTAAATATTTATTTATTTTTAGTTCAATAACATTTGGGAGGGAGAGGATTGGAACCATAGATAATCAATTATTGTTGAACTATACTTAATTTGACAAATATTTGTGTATTATAACTTTGAACTTAATTTTAATTATGTGTTTAATGGATATATTTAGACTTGAAGTTCTAACCGACCCGTTTGATTATTTATCAATATATTTATAAATAGTTAGAGACGATAAGGAAGATCACCACCTAAGCGAATTAACCGAAAAGACTTCGCTTATTCAAACCGAACGATAGCAACTTAAAACTCAATCTATCACGTGTAGCGTCGTTGCTTGATCGACATATATTAATTTTCTCGTACACATTATTGTAATTGAATTGATAGACATCATTTCTATACCTATTTAAATTTAAGTGAAAATAAATAAAATCGGATACCAAATGTATTATTTCCTAATGAAATGAAATAATTTTACTAAAAAAACACAATAAAATGTAATAATTATATATTTAATAAAAAAATATTTAAATATGTCTTGTTAATATTGAATTACCTCGATATTTCCAAATTTTAAATCTTAATAAAATCTAAATTATGTCTTGTTATTTTATTTTATTATTATTATTATTTTTTTTTTTTGTGGAAGATAATTATTTTGAAATAACAATATTTTACTATAATTATAAAAGATATATATAATATTGAAGCTTATTCTATTACAAAGTTTTTTATAAAAAAAAAATTCTTAAAACTTTTTATTCAAATTTCAAAATTCAAAAAACAAAATAGAAATTTCAAATCATATTTTCTTTCCAAAAAGTCTTTAAAGAAAAAAAAAAAAGAAAAAAAGAAAAAGCAATTGAACAATCCCAAATTTCAAATTTTAAATTTTAAATTTTAAAATTTAAAATTTATACTTTTCTATTTACATTAGACTATTTAGTTGGTAGACGTAACATTTAATAAAAGAAATTACTTTTAAGAATCATATTTTTTTAAAAAAAATTAGTATTTTAATTTAATTAAGGATGGAAAAGGGCAAAATTGTAAATTTTCAAGCTTGAGCCTTTTTTCATAAGGCTTTTTCCCCTTTTAGGAGGGAGAGAGAGAGGTGGCTTTTCATTTTGGAGGACAATAATTCAAATTGATATATATATATATATTATTCAAAAGCATTTTACTTAAAGATTTTTCTTTTTTAGTGTAAATAATTTAAAAAAGAATTTAATACATTTGCTCTATTTAATTTAAGATATTAAGAACTCAAATTTCATCACTCAATTAATTCATTTTTCAAATATATATATATATATATATATATATATTAAAATAAAAAAATTAAATTTGAATAGTTATAATTATTCAATTATTAAATAATATTTTTGATTTTTTTAGATAGAAAAATAAATAATAATTTAAATCTCTACCTATCTCTACAAAAGATCGATTTAAATTTGAGTTTCATCTCGAATATTATATTTTTATAAAATTTTAAATAAATATTTACCAATATGAACATAACTCAGTTGTTAAATTAATAATAATAATAATGAGGACGAGAAGGAGGAGGGGCTATTATAAATAAAAGACAGTGGAATACACGCAAGTAGAAAAGAGTGGAAAAAGTCAAAAGGACAGGAACCACATATTCAAAATTGTGGCAATGCAGAATCCACTAAGTCCCTCCAAAATGCAATCTGATTAGGATCTAACCAAACCTTACCTTTCTATATTTCTATATCTATCCCTTCCAATTATTCATATGTATCTATATATCTATATTAATAATAAGCTAGGTTTATTAATAACTCGAGAGTATAGCATCTTAACGCTATTTGGGTTTAAGGTGTTGCTAAAAATACTATTCAAACATTCGAGCTTCACGATAGTATCAAGACCTTATAAATTTTCATCAACAACACCATGTTTGATGCTATGGATTGTGCTCGACTCTAACCCTCAAAATTAACTGACGTTTCAATACTCTAAACATTAAGCGAATATTCGCTTAAGTTAATTTTCATAGCCCCAACTAATATTGGAAGCTAACTTGTTTCCTTGTTGGTTCCCTTTTTTGTAGGGGATTTGAGGACATGGGTAACCCTAGGCATGTGAGAAGTGTTCCTAGGTTGTCTAGCACTAAGCGACTGACCCTCGACACCTCCCATATATCGTTAAACTCTTGAAAATCAATGTCATCTAGCTGGTAAGTAAAGTAACGTGATAACTAATATGTAAAAAATTGATTATATGAATGATATTTGGACTTTATCATTATGGTTACTTGATTGGAGGTATGTTTTCTCGAAAGCTAATTATATCGTGGAATTGCTTACTATTTATACTTTTTTGTTTCAATAAAGCGTCTATTCATACGTGGAAGATGAAACCTAATCATCTTTTTCACTCGTAACATTATAAAGCATTTTAAAAAGTAGTTTATATGGTGGTAGCCTTATTAATTAGGACTGAAGTGATGTTGATCCATACTTTTACTTTCTACTCGAACCCGATGAAAAAAGTTGGAATTATTCATAATGTGCCAAGAACCTGATGGTATGAGAAATTTCAGTCCTATGTTCTGAACCTAATTTTCTTCAAATATGTTTAGTTTTAAAAATTTAAGGATTAACAAATCAAATGGGCAAAGGTAGTGTTGATGTGTGACACGTGATGTGATATCTCAACAATCCCATTTTGGGATGACAAGGAAAACACAATAACAAATGAAACGTGGCACTCTTGACAAATGAGTTTGTGACATGTGGAAATAATGGCCAATTATGCAATTGATTGAAAGGGTTATGTTAGTGGTATAATACAATTGAGCATGTCGGTTGGGGATTCGTGGTTAGGGTTGTAATATCTGTCGATATCGATCTCTCCACAAACCAATACGAGTTATTTCATCATATTTTGTTCTCACTCAAATGCATTTCAGTAAAATTTTCAAGAGATCACCCAACATAAAATGTCTACAAGCAAAATTCACTTGACCATGAAGTTCATATGATTGAGCTATCGAACAAGAATGTTTACTTTATTGGTATAGATAGTAACTTTCATTTCTTCTAAGTCTTTCTTCGTCATCTTATCCTTAGGATTGCTCTCATTCGAATATGACCCGATTCATTCATGCACCCCTTGGATGTTACAAGGTCCTACAAAATCTTAGTCACACTGCTAACAATTTCCTACTCAAACTCTTTTTCAGACTATGCCGCTCATTCAATAGAGCTCAATCACGAATCACATATTGTAATATTTATAAAATTTATCTCCTTTATTCATCACTCAATGATTGCATTGACACAACTAAGCATTGAGCTTGAGTTTGAGTTTGATAGCAGTAGTTTAGAGTGAGCAGATCTCTTAAATTTTTTTCTTATTCTT